AATGATAGAGAATCTTTTCCCAATTATAATGACACCAAAAGTATGACATTTGATGGAAAACTTACAGAATTATGCTCTCGTGAAGTTAGCGGTATCAACGATGTTTATGCATCAGCGATTTTGCCCAATTTGAGCCCTATTTTCGGCCAATTTCAGTGTACTAGTTGACAAAAATCATACCTATTTTGCTAGAACTCCATTTTTTTCTATCGAATGAGTACAAGAAACCACCCATTTACCGATTTCAAGTATCCAATAAAGTATCCAATAAAGTGGTCAGAAATTGGCAATTTTGCCAATTTCACACAAATTTCATAAGATGCCAATTTCCAAAAAGGGTCCAGAATAAGAAAGACAGACATTCCTGGCACTAAAATAACATTTCCTCTGTTCATTAGTCACGTCCCCAGGCCCCTCTCACATCTATTTTGCTTTCCACTCTGAATTTTTATTCTCACAAAAAACAGAAGATTTACTGTTATGCAGACTACTGCAGTAGTGTAGAAATGATATAAATAATATCAGTGCACTTGTGAAAGAATATCAGACTCACCAGTTGACGTGTATTGGACATGTGGCATGATTTGTTTACTTTTGAAATCTGGTAAAAATCGAACATTTCTGCTACTTTGAGCTCAATTTCAAGGTACGTTTCATTATGAAACCAATCAAAATCATCTCAATTTCTGTAATATGTCTTCCATTCTATAAAATGAGACCAGGAAAACGAGAAAACAACCATAAATACCATATGAAAATACACTGCAAAGTCGCTGTTTTAAACTAAAAACACGATCGTTTTGTTTTCTCGTTATGCGCTGTGTGCTGCAGGATTTTTTTTATACTGTGTACACTGACCACATAGACCCATTCTTTCGTATGTAGGCCTACCAGCTTTCTCTCACTAGATTTGAAGGCGCTAGAATTTAGGCATTCAAGTACATCAATAACCCTGGTGCTTAAGCCCTACTAGTACGTCGGAAACCCTGAAAGGGTTAAAAGAAAGAATTTGTGGTATATTTTTATATGATTTTTATGGCTGTATTCTCAGTTTCTTTGTCTCAATTGACAGAATGAAAGATATACAGTGGACCCCCGGTTCGCGATGCTATCGGTATCCGATAAATCCGGTAACCGATGCATTATATTGCAGAAAATTTGCCTCGCTTCCCAATACAAAACCCGGTATGCGATGTGGTTCGTACGAGACGTGTCCATGTGTGGCCTGAACTGCCCCGTGTGTGCCAGTGTTTACAAGCCAGACAGTGTGCGCGCATCTAAGGATACATTCAGTACATTCCATATTATCCATATTATCACTGTTTTTGGTGCCTGTTTTTGCAACATAAGTCACCATGGGCCCCAAGAAAGCTCCCAGTGCCAACCCTTTGAGACCAAGGGTGCTAACGACTGTTGAAATGAAGAAAGAGATAATTGCAAAGTACGAAAGTGGAGAGTGTGTGTCGGAGCTGGTCAGGTTGTATAGTAAACCCCAATCAACCATCTCTACTATAGTGAGCAAGAAAACGGCAATCAAGGAAGCTGTTCTTGCAAAAGGTGCAACTGTGATTACGAAACGGCGACCGCAAGTGTTAGAAAATGTTGAGAGACTGTTACTGGTGTGGATAAATGAAAAACAGATAGCAGGAGATAGCATCTCTCAAGCAATCATTTGTGAAAAGGCTAGGCAGTTGCATGACGATTTGGTAAAAAAATTGCCTGCAACTACTGGTGATGTGAGTGAATTTAAGGCCAGCAAAGGCTGGTTTGAAAGATTTAAGAATTGTAGTGGTATACATAGTGTGATTAGGCATGGTGAGGCTGCCAGTTATGTTGTGCAACAGAAGTCCAGTGGCTCTCAAGCTGGTCCTAGTGGCATTAAAAGAAGAAGGGAAGTAACCCCGGAAAAGGACTTGCTACCTCAAGTCCTAATGGAGGGGGATTCCCCTTCTAAATGCTAACACCATCCACACACTCCCCTCCTCCCATTCCCATCAATCATCACCAGATCTTCATTAAGGTAAGTGTCAATTATTCTTTCGTTATTTATTGTTATTTATTGTTATTGTTGTTATTGTAATTACTATTCTATTGCATTAAACTTAATATTTCATGTGGTAAAAGTTTTTTTTTCATACTTTTGGGTGTCTTGCATGGATTAATTTGATTTCCATTATTTCTTATGGGGAAAATTGATTTGCTTTCCGATATTTTTGGTTTACGATGAGCTCTCAGGAACGGATTAGTATCGCGAACCGGGGGTCCACTGTATTACATAAATAGAGTTGATTTGGATTAGTTGTCAGACTGAAAGTAGCTTGAAATTGAGCTCAAAGTAGCAGAAATGTTCGATTTTTGCCGGTATTCCAGAGTACACAAATGGCACCAATCTTCATTGGCTGATGCATTGTATGAAATGGATGTACAGTTTTCATGGGTTTAGGCTGTGTAGGCACAAATTTTATTGATTCTCTGCAATAACTGGAAAATGCATCTTCTGGTCAGCTTTAAATTTTAATGCTGAGATGTTTTCCTCAAAGAAAGCAAACTTTTGATGCTAAGCTGTGTACGGTATCTTCCAGTTTTATTAATCAAATTTGTTTCTGTTAAATAATTAGAGACCATCTCTTCTCATTAGAAATGTTTGACTTTATTTGGTTATACTAGGTTAGATCATCGTTATGTTCTTTTATGTGCTGATAACATGTATGCCCTCAAGACCATTGTTAAAAATTTGTATATTATATACAACAAGTCTACATAAAACTTATTTACTGGTCACTCTTACTTGGAAAATAGTTTGGATTTATTTTGGGCCAGTGTGAGTTCAATTTGCTTCAGTCATTCCATGCAGATAACCTGGTAATGCAACTTTTTGCTTGATGTGCTTGTGTATTTCAGATATTGACCTCATTGAAAGATTTTAATTAGAATTGGTCTGTGTATGCTCTAATTCACCATTTTTACTGAAGAAATTTGGAGATTAGTTTCCATACGATGACTTATGAATGGCTCTTTTGACGCCCTTTAAGTCTTCATTGCTAGTATCTAATCGCATTATCAACTCATACTGCCCTCTGCACTATTGCAATCACTTGCATTGAGGCAAAGTAGACTGGGGTTATGGAATATGGGGGTTACTTTCCTTGGATCAATCACACAGTGACAAACACATTTTTTTCTGCTTATCTTTTAACCCTTTCAGGGTCCACAGGCCCTCTCAGAGACTTGTTCTCAGGTTCCCCCAATTTTCGAAAAAAAAAAAATTATTTTTTCTTATGAAAAGATAGAGAATCTTTTCCCGATCACAATGACACCAAAAGTATGAAATTTGATGGAAAACTTACGGAATTATGCTCTTGCGAAGTTAGCAGTCTCGACGATGTTTACGCATCGGCGACTTTGTCCACTTTGAGCCCTATTTTTAGCCAATTCCAATATATTAGTCGACAAAAATCATAACTATTTCACTAGAACTCCAGTTTTTCTATCGAATGAGTACAAGAAACCACCAATTTACCGATTTCAACTATCCAATACAATGCTCAGAATTTAGCAATTTTGCCAATTTCACACAAATTTCAAAAGATGCCAATTTCCAAATAGGGTCCAGAATAAACAAGAAAGACATTCCTGGCACTAAAATAACATTTCCTCTGTTCATCAGTCACTCCCTATGCCCCTCTTACATTCTTTTGCTTTCCATATTGAATTTTTATTCTCACAAAAAATAGAAGATTTACTGTTATGCAGACTACTGCATTAGTTTAGAAATGGTATAAATAATATCGGCACACTTGTGAAAGAATATAAGACTCACCAGTTGACGTGTATCGGACGCTTAGCATGATTTGTTTACTTTTGAACTTTGTTAAGAATCGAACATTTCTGCGACTTTGAGCTCAATTTCAAGGTACTTCTCATTGTAAAACCAGTCAAAATCATCTCAATTTCTGTAATATGTCTTCCATTCTATACAATGAGACCAGGAAAACTAGAATACAACAATAAATACCATACGAAAATACAGTGCAAAGTCGCTGTTTTAATCCAAAAACACAGTCAAAGTTTCTTTTTTCTCATTATGCACTATGTGCTGCAGGATTTTTTTTTATACTGCACACACACTGACTACATAGACCCATTCTCTCATATGTAGGCCTACCAGTTTTCTCTCACTAGATTTGAAGGCGCTAGAATTTATGAGTACTAGTACATCAAGGACCCTGGTGCGTAAGCCGTACTAATACGGCTGAAACCCTGAAAGGGTTAACTATGTAAAGCAGAAAAAACTGCTTAAAATTAAATTTCTATTACATCACAAGCAAGTCAATTCACTATTGCACTCAGTTCATTACAATAATTGCTGCCAAGTGAAGCCGATATTATTATTCATGGTAAAATTACTTTTGCCTCACCCTGTACTATATGCACAGATATACATACATACAAGTACTAGCAAAGAAATTGCCTATGATATTAAACTAGATATAAAATCCAACTACTGAGTTTTTTTTTTTTTACCAGAAGGTAATCTGTAAATAAACAAAAATACAAACACTCACACACACAAAAATACACGCATGCACACATACGCATACATGTGCATACACACATACATAGCTTTAAGAAGAGGTATGATAAAGATCATGGAGCAGAGTGGAGACCTAGTAGTGACCAGTGAAGAGGTGGGGCCAGGAACTATGACTCAACACCTGCAACCACACTTAGGTGAGTACATGTACACACATACATTCACATGCACATACACAAGCACACACGCACATGAAATACAACATAGATCTGCATATCAATGTTACTTGCATCCAAAACTTCCAACTCTCCAAAATTATCTACTTCTCATGATCATCATCATCAAGAGTATGAATCCATACCTGCAGGTTGTTCCAAGGGTCAGTGCCCCAGTGGCCCAGTCTATGACCATTATTCCACTCTTGAATCAACTTAAACAAGAATGTACTCTCATTTTTTTTACTTACAGGAAACTCAATCTTTTTCTGGCAGTCGCCCACTCTAACAAGTGCAATAGACTTGTAAGTGAGACAGATGTGGTGCTCTCCAGCGAGTCCTTTGCTGCTACCAAGACTTCTTGGTTGCACTGCAACCAACCAAACATGCTCTGAAATAAGATTAATAAATTATCAACACACTAATTCAAGGAAAAAATCCAAATTACAAAAATGATAGAGTTGCACTATAAATTTATCCATGATTGTACTATAAGTCTCCACTGCTTTATGTGACAGATACATTTTTGGTCCACTGCACACAGAGTGAACCAAGCACAATATAAAATATAAGGATTTGTTCTGAGACTTTGCAGACTCCATATTTTTTTAACCCTTTCATTGTCAGTCCTGTTGTACCATGGCTTAGAAGCCGATGTCGGTCCCGCAGTATGACGCCATGAGCTCATCTCACTCATATAAGCTATGAGCAGTAAATTTGGGCCTAGGTATGAGAGAATGGGTCCCTGCAGAAAGTGTGTACCATATAGAAAAAAAATCCTGCAGCACACAGTGAATAATGAGAAAAAACTGCAACCATGTTTTTGGTTTAAAACAGCGACTTTGTGGTGAATTTCTATAGTGTTTTTATTGTTGTATTCTCTGTTTCTTAGTCTCTTTTGATAAAAGGGAAGATATATTACAGGAATAGAGATGATTTTGATTAGTTTCAGGACTGAAAGTAGCTTGAAATTGACCTCAAAGTGGAAGAAATGTTCAATTTTTGCCACTGACAGTGATAAAGATATGTGTGAAATTCTCAATACCTACTTCCTCTCAGTTTTCACCCAGGAAAATACTAGCGATATTCCTGAAATAAAAGATTATGTAGAACAGGACGATAATAAACTATGCACGATTGTGGTAACTAGTGACATGGTCCTCAGACAAATAGAGAAACTAAAACCTAACAAATCCTCAGGCCCTGATAACTGTTTGCAAGGGTGTTAAAGGAATGTAAAGAGGAACTTAGCATACCTTTGGCTAATCTTTTTAACATATCACTACAAACTGGCATAGTGCCTGATAAGTGGAAAATGGCAAATGTAATACCTATTTACAAGGCAGGTGACAGGTCCTTGACTTTGAACTACAGACCAATAAGCCTTACCTCCATAGTGGGAAAATTTATGCAATCAATAATTTCCGAAGCAATTCGTAGCCATCTTGATAGGCACAGATTGATTAATGAATCTCAACATGGTTTTACAAATGGGCATTCCTGTCTTATTAATTTACTAACTTTTTTCACTAAGGTGTTTGAGGAGGTAGATCATGGTATTGAATATGATATTGTGTATATGGACTTCAGTAAGGCTTTCGATAGAGTTCCACATCAGAGGCTATTGAGAAAACTTAAGGCACACGGAATAGGAGGAGAAATTTTTTCCTGGGTAGAGGCATGGCTGACAAATAAGCAGCAATGAGTTTGCATAAATGGGGAGAAATCAGAATGGGGGCACGTCACAAGTGGTGTTCCACAGGGGTCAGTGTTGGGCTCGTTGTTGTTCACAATTTACATAAACGACATAGATGAGGGAATAAATACCGACATAAGCAAATTTGCCGATGACACCAAAATAGGCCATCCATTTCATTCTAATGAGGACACTAGAGCACTCCAGGATGATTTGAATAGACTGATGCGATGGTCAGAGAAGTGGCAGATGCAGTTTAATATAGACAAATGCAAAGTTCTAAATGTCGGACAGGAAAATAACAGTGCGACATATAAACTAAATAATGTAGATCTTAATACTACTGATTGCAAAAAGGATTTAGGAGTTCTGGTTAGCAGTAATCTAAAACCAAGACAACAGTGCATTAGTGTTCACAATAAAGCTAACAGAATTCTTGGCTTCATATCTAAAAGTATAAATAATAGAAGTCCTCGGGTTGTTCTTCAACTCTATATATCCTTGGTTAGGCCTCATTTAGACCATGCTGCTCAGTTCTGGTCACCGTATTACAGAATGGATATAAATGCTCTGGAAAACGTACAGAGGAGGATGACGGAGATGATCCCATGTATCAGAAATCTTCCATATGAGGATAGACTGAGGGCCCTGAATCTGCAGTCTCTCGAAAGGCGTAGAATTAGGGGGGGATATGATAGAGGTGTATAAATGGAAAACCGGAATAAATAAAGGAGACATGGACCTGCTCCGCATGGGTCAGTAGGCCTCCTGCAGTGTTCCTTCTTTATGTTCTTATGTTCTTGTCCAATACACATCCAACTGGCCAGTCTAATATGCATTTAGGAATGCACTGGCATTATTATACAACTGTTACAATAATGAAGTAGTTTGCATAAAAGTAGATTTTCTATCTTTGTGTAAATAAAAGTTCAAAATGAAACTCAAGTGTAATATAAGATGGGCCAGGAGAAGTGACTAAGGAGCATTGGAAATGTTTATTTAGTGCCAGTAATGTCTACAGTGTTTATTCTGGACCCTATTTTCAAAATGGCAATTGTTGAATTTTGTATGAAACTGGCCAAATTACTTATTTCTGATCACTTTACTGGGTAGTTAAAATAGGTAAATGGACAGTTTCTTGTACTCAGTCGATAGAATAGTAGGAATACTAGCAAAATAGCTATGAGTTTAGTGGACTGGAACAATGGGATACTAGCAAAATAGCTATGAGTTTAGTGGACTGGAACAATGGGATTGGCCAAAATAAGAGAGCAAAGTAGGAGAAATCGCCAATGCGTAAACATTGCCGAGACCACTAACTTTGCGAGAACACATTTCCCTAAGTTTTCCATCAAATTTCGTACTTTTAGTTTCATTACCTTCAAAAAACACATTTTAGTCATATTTTTTTAAAAATAATGAACACAATTAAAAAAGTTATGTTATTTACCTTGTGATCTGCCCTTTAAAATGACTTAATTACAGTGAACCCTTGGTTATCAGCCATTCCGCTTATCGGCCAACTTGCTTATTGGCCAGTTTCTCGGCTTCCGGTTATCGCTCGTTATTTTGCTTATCTGCTGTATGGGATGTGTCAGCCCACCACCACCAGCCACTTGCATCAGTCTGGCTGTGTCTCCGGGCAAGTGAGGAAACTTCTGCTCATTCACCCAAACATTTTGCTATAACCCATTGATTTTTGTGGTTATTGATTAAGTGCAACTGCGATATAAGCACCCATGGGCCCAAATAGAGTTCCTAGTAAAGTTCCTTTGGTAAAGAAAGTGAGAAACATGATGGAATTTAAGAAAGAAGTTGTTGAAAAGTATGAGTGATGGAGGAAGACAGAGAGGAGAATGTACCTTCTTCAGTGATTCAGTGATTCTACGATATGTATGATACCAAAGCAGCAGAGTCAATACAGGCTATAGTGTCAGCCAGCAATAAAGTGTAATATTAACAGCATAGCAAGTAAGTTAAGCAATTAAGCGATAGAAAAAGACGACACGAAACTTAACTCCTCCAATGTTGCTAGGGCTATGTAGGGCTACTGAAAATACCGCCACCCTGCCTATCTTCTACCACCCTAAACCAATGCCAGCATCTCCTCCAAGGTACAGTAAGTGTAAATATTTCTTATTCATAAAGTGTAAATATTTCTTATTTATAAAGAGTAAATAATTCTTATTTATAAATTACATACATTGTTTGTGTGAATGGTGGTGGTAGCTGTGCTGCTGGCCACTACCACTAATATGTGCAGCTTATGCTTTCAGTGGCCTCTTATAAACCCAACAACAACAACAACAACACACCATCACTCGCCACATACATAATGACGTATGTTATTCATTCTAGAGTACATATATATATATATATAATGTTTCTATGTTATTAATATTGTTTATTATGTCATATTAGATGAATTGTGATAGATAAATAAGCCGTAGAGTTGATAATAGCGTCATATTTATGCCTCCCTCGCCATTTTGCCTATGCCAACTAGACTCTTCAATAAAGGTAAAAGTGATTTAAATGCTCATTTATCTATTTCATTAGTCATTTTATTTAGGTCTGTTTTCTGTATGTAAAACTATAGTTAATCTTTAAAAAATGTATTTTTTGTTAATATTTTTGAGTGTCTGAAATAGATTAATTGGATTTACATTAATTCTTATGGGAAATATTATATCGGTTATCGGCCATTTCGCTTTTAAACCAACCTTCTAGAACAGATTACGGCCAATAACCAAGGGTCCACTGTATAATGAAAAACACCTAAGGCAGCCCTAAGGCAGGCACTATCATAGACAATTTTCCTACCTTTTAATATTTAACTTATCTTCCATCGTAACAACACTATGCTTGGAATCACTAACAGTATCCTTCTTAGGACCCATGGCTAACAAAGACACAGTAAAAGAATAATCATAAAACTAACAGTTAAAGACAAAAAACAAGCACACGATTGCAGCATGGGCAAAAATGCATATGGCACTGTCCCTGTTTTGAATGAGAACCAGCAGCAACGTCACCACACAACAAGATGGCAGAACTACATAACGATGGACATCTGTTTACAATTTTTCGATGTAAATATTTTATTGTATTTATATGTATACATTTTTAATGTTTTTTATGTGTTTTTATCGTATTTTACATAGTTTTTTAGCTTCTTTTATTGTTAAGTTTTGTTTTATTTTAAATATGTATTTAAGCATAAATTTATTTTAGGTATTTTTATTATAACATAGGTGACATTGCTAAGTGACATAACATCGGACATAATGAGGTTCCCTGAACTGAAATTTACAGCAGTGTAAAGGTGAGTTTGACGTAAGCTGAAATGACGTAAATTGGGGTATGACTGTACCATGAAATACAATATAGTAGAAAAATTCACATATTTTTACTTATTTTACCCCAAAAATTATGAGTATACCAGAGAAACACCAATTGGTTATATGGCAAAAATTAATGTAATTTGTCAAAAACCAAATGAGACACATAAAATCCAAAATTAAATCATAATCCACATTTTATCCTCCATCTTTCCTTCACCACCAAGTGAATTGAAGTCACCCATCAGGAACCTGTGAATATAGGTTAGAAATAGGGTTGACAGTCATCCTATTGCTAATCCTCTACTTCTAGTCTTCACAGTAGCCATCTTGTTGAAGCATCCCTTATACACA